CCCCCCATCCTCTCCTAGCAGATTACATGATCTAATCTCACCCCCTATCCAGATGCAGCTCTGATGAATGTCAGCAATGCCCAGCGGTACGTTCTAACAGCCACAGATCATGAGCTCTATTCAGCTCCCACAGACAGGAGTTGTGCAACAAGATGGGATTGCAGCTTTGACCCTGTGAACTTTTTTGAGAGTGGTTTGATTCGAGGTGCATGCTATTGTGTTGGTAGGTTTTGTCTGACTTGAAATCACACTATAAGAAAAGAATAAATGAGCCTGCAGCACTTTACAATAGTGCAGCTGATTTGTGTGTACATGTACTGTTTTTTTAATGATTGTAATCTGTTGTGCATGTGTGTACATACAATACATATCTTGACCTAATATGCTTAAACTAGTGCCCTAAAAAGTTGCACAATATGACGCAATCATACCCAATAAGAAATAATTTGATGTTTAATTGGTAGTTATTGGCAGGTTTTCTGAATAATTAGATCTCACTATGGATTGGCTACCAAGTAAATCATAACTAAATAACAGACAAAATGTCCTGCTGATTTTTATGGTTGTTTAGAATAAAAAAAATATATATAAATAAATATATAAAATATAACACTAATAAAATTAAAAATACAAGTATATAAAAATAGTTTAAAAAAAAGGGGACTGGTATGTCTTACATAATTAAAATAAGTCTAAAATATTCACTGTAAGATATTCATTCATAATAGCCTGTAATTAAATTATAAAAAGCTATTTTTTATTATAAATGAAATAATAATAATAAACAATTCAAAAATGTCAGATAAGTATCTCTGTGCTAAAGTTGTTTGACCTTTCCTGAAGAAATACAGAAAAAAATCAGTGTCATTCAGTCGGATTCATTGTTGTTTGCTCCACGATTTGCAGCAATTCATGTAATCTGATTCCCCAAGAATAACATAATTTGCGTGCTTGTTGACAATGCATTGAATGGAAAAATGAGGATGAGAAAATAAGATCAGGAAATTGTTTGTTTATTAGAATAGATGTCCATAGTGACAAATCTGATTGGACACTTGCAATTATCAGCGAGAAATATTCATCATTTATAAGAAGAGACTGCAGAATTTATGTAAAAACTGATATTATTCACTTTATACATTGAACTCGAGTTGACTGTGACTTGCCTTCACAAAGACAATATGGTAAACATGTGGTAATGGTTCTCACTGTGTCCTCAAGCGCCATTTGTAACCAAGGATGCTAATCAAGAATGCTCACACTCTTTGTTCTTCTAGACTTCTTCTAAGTGCTGCCCTCAGCCTTCAGAATAGACACCTACAATGACTATTGTCATATAGAGGTGTGTGATAATTGAATTAGATGCTCCATAGGGTAAAGACTATAGATATAGAGAGGTCATAAAGCTAGACATGCCTCCACATCCTGCTCAGCACAAGGTTTTCAGCTTTGACTAACCTGAGAGGCAGATGGCCTGGAGGGCTTCAGAACAATACAGCCTGATTGGGCGGATCTGCTTAACACACGGCACTTTTCAGAGCACACAGACAGAGGTCTCATCCACTGTGGTGGTCTTTCATCATGTCAGAATGTAGCATCTTGAGATAGACTGTAAGCATAATTCCAGGGCAAGGAGAGAGAAAAGAAGATGCATGAACAAAGGTACTGTGACTGAAATCTACTGAAGGGTTTCTGGCGGGGTCATGCGTTGATGGAAGAGATATACGATATGATGTCAAATGTGTTCAAGATTTTATTTATAAAGAGACTTGTGTGTATGCTTGAGCAAATATAAATAGCCACAACTATTTGCTAATGCACACCATCAATTAGAATAGCAGTAACAATAACAATACCCAAAAAGAAAAAAAAGAGAGATTTGCACAAGCTGTATTTTCTATGTATACTATACATCTTTTGTAGATTTTCAGCTAGTCCCAGTACAAATACACTCTAAAATGTGTTGGTTTTTTTACTGCATTATATTTATTTTCCAAACAGTTAAACTTTTGATTGACAAATGTTTACTTATTTGCCCTTATTTGATTTGTAAAATTCACCACATTATTAATATTTTACATTATTAACATTTAACATAATGGTAACGTTATGTTGTTTCAAACTCTTCCAAACACAGTTATGTTTTTGTGTAACACAAAGCAACATAAAAAAGGTTAATTTTGTCCATACTCAGAAAATGTATGTTATTTAAGCTTTATATATGTTATTAATATTTAAAAAAAACTTTTACTTATTTCTTATTATTTTAATTTTATTTTTCAATTTGTATTTATTTCAGTTAGAGTTGTAGCATTTTTTTTCCCAGTTAGTTGCCAGTTCAAGTTTCGTTAGTTTTTTTAATCTACTATTTAGATTTTATTTTATTTCAGCTTTATTTAAATCAACAAAATAGATTTTTAATAGTTCCAGTTTTAGTTAACTATAACAGCCCTGCATAAACCATTATAAAATGGTCTTTATATTATATACATAAAAACGTAGTCAGGTTGACAAAAATATGTGACCCTGGAGCACAAAACCAGTCATAAGTCGCTGGGGTATATTTGTAGCAATAGCCAAAAATACATTGTATGGGTCAAAATGATAGATTTTTATTTTATGCCAAAAATCATTAGGATATTAAGTAAAGATCATGTTCCATGACGATATTTTGTAAATTTCCTACCGTAAATATATCAAAACTTAATTGTTGATAAGTAATATGCATTGCTAAGGACTTCATTTGGATAACTTTAAAGGGGATTTTCTCAATATTTGGATTTTTTTGCACCCTCAGATTCAAGATTTTCAAGTAATTGTGTCTCGGTCAAATATTGTCCTATCCTAACAAACCATACATCAATGGAAAGCTTATGACAGGTTTTGTGGTCCAGGGTCACATATAGTCTGTCAAGATGTGTCACATAAGGTTTGACCTCAATGATGAGGCACAAGAAAACATTTGATGTCATTGATGCCAGACATGATATGTCTTAAAGCATCATATTTGAATTAACACAAATTATTCCTTGAGACTTTCATCGACTCAAAAATAGTCATATGGGTTTAAAAAGGTGGTTCTTTCTTGTGGTTCCATCAAACCCATGGTTTCATCACAATTTCACCATCCAGTTAGGCACATCAACCATAACTCCTTCAAAAACAGCCAGAAACCTTGCAGTTATGATTGATGATCAGCTGACTTTCTCAGACCACACTGCTAAAACTGCCCGGTCCTGCAGATTTGCTTAATTCAACATCAAGAAGATCAGGCCCTTTCTTTCGGAATATGCTTCACAACTCCTTGTTCAAGCTCTTGTTCTATCCAGGCTGGACTATTGGAATGCTCTCTTGGCAGGTCTTCCAGCCAGTTCTATCAAACCTTTACAATTAATCCAGAACGTGGCAGCAAAATAAATTTTTAATGAGCCAAAAAGAATGCACGTCACACCTCTGTTTATCAATGTGCACTGGCTACCAATAGCTGCTCGCATAAAATTCAAGGCATTAATGTTTGCCGATAAAACCACCACTGGCTCTGCACCCCTTTACTTAAATTCATTACTTCAGACTTATTTGCCCTCTAGAAGCTTGCATTCTGCAAGTGAATGCCGCTTTATTGTGCCATCCCAAAGCAGCACAAAATCACTTTCACAGACTTTTAAATTAAATGTTCCCACCTGGTGGAAAGACCTGCCCAACTCAATCCTTAGCCATCTTCAAGAATCGGCTAAAAACACATAATGGCATGCTAAAACAATTGTGAGTAACCCGGGCCCCAGGTAGTGTAAGCCGAGCCCTAAAGGGCCATTAGAGGACCCTTACAAGATTGGGAACCCATAACTTCTCTGTGCAAACTTGTCGGCACCCCTTTATAACCAGTCAAAGTCATTTTTTATTATTGTTTACTTGTTGGAAACAGGAGACCGGGCAAAACAGATGCAATGAAAAACACCCCAACTGCTCCCATAAACTGCTCATCCCAATAAGCAGCGGGTGCCATGACCTGTCATCACTCTTGCTCACCCATTCATGATTTACACACTCTGTCCCTGTGGGTTTAAAAACTCACACTAATCCTTCAGGGATGGCCGTTTGAACCGCTGTGGAAGCTGCCCAAAGAGAGGGAAGATAAAACCGAAATCCAAGACAGACAGACCCACAAAACTGCGAGCAGAAACAGATGCAGGGAAGCTCCTGTGTTTATAATTGATTTTCAAGGGCAGCGTCTTGTTGTCAGAGTTTGTCTAACAAGCTTTCGCCTGGCGCCCTGGTGCTCGTCAACCACGGGGCGTCAGATGCGCCGGCTCCTCCTTTCTTCACTCGGGATGGCACCATCCAGAAATACCAGGATCAGGCTGTGGAATGAGATTATTTTAAGAGATAGTCTTGAAGTCTCATCTATAGACAAAAAGAGGGAGTGTTAAAGGGATAGTTCATCCAAAAATAAAATTTGCCATCATTTAGTCACCTTCATGTCAATACAAATTTGTATGAATATTTATTTATTTGTTTTTGTGCAAAACATAAAAAAGTATTTGTAATTTATTTATTTATTTTTGTCCATTTTTTGAATGTCAATGGAACCCAAAACTTTTAAGATCCAAAAAAGGACACACACGGTTCATAAGCTCACCAAGGCTACAATTGCTTGATCAAAAACACAGTAAAAAACAGGAATATTATTAAATGTTATTATAATTTATAATAAATGACGTGATGGCAAAGCTGAATTTTCAGCAGCCATTACTCCAGTGTTCAGTGTCACACGATCCTTCAGAAATCATTGAATAATTGTGCTGCTTAATATTTTCGTGAAAATTGTGCTACATTTTTTTCCAAGGATCCTTTAATGAAGTTCATAATGCCAACATGTATATGAAACAGAAATCTTTTGTCTTTACAGTCACTTTTAATCAATTGAATGCATCCTTGGTGAATAAAGGTATTAATTTCTTTAAACATTGTTTGGAATTGACATGACTGGTATAGATTTTGATGAATTCACTCACTCTCAAATCAAAATATTGTTCATATTTAAATTTTGTGTATACATTCTTTGAATAATACTTTGATTTTATTAAAGAGTGATGAACATTCCAGACAAATTTTTAGGGAAACACTTACATATTGTGGAGCCACAGGTATTCCCAGCCCCTACGTCTTTGTCCTATGTGTTTACGTCCGAGCTCATGCTTTCTTTGTGAGACTCAAGGGCTAAGCCAGTAATTGGCCATGGATCATCAATCTTACAAAGCTTCCCAAAAGCTTTTCACCCAAACTAGTGAGAAGACGAATGAAAGTGAGTTGCCAGCAAGCAGGCCCTGGGTGGAGCGATCAAGCAAGTCTGCGGTCTTTGAGAAACCACAATGTCGGTCCTACTGAAGAGTCCATCTGGTTTATGTCACATAACCCGTTCTTTGTGTCAAATGTATATGAGACACTTCATGTCCCTTTGAGGATGCATGGCAAGCAGACAGACAGGCACATTGTTTGCATAGGGCTGGCTGGAACACAGACCTGTCGAGATCATCAAGAGTTCCTCCCTGCTTATATTACACAAATGTCTTTAGTATGGTTTCTGTGCCGTGCATGAAATTGAAAATGTCTTGAGAATTTCCACGTGAAGAAAAATTACTTCAATCCAGTCCGCATTTATGGTTTCCACTTATTGTTTCTGTCTGATTTATTGACTGAGTTAGAGTGTTAGGCAGCGTTATCTTTCATTTTGCGTTTTTTTGGATTTGGGGCTCTTGTTGGTAAATGAAAAAGAAGGGAATTCATTTGCCGGAAGCCATATTTACAAAGCTGTCAAGCCATTTAGTCCAGCGTGAGGTCAGTCGAACCCTAGCATTTGTTTTCAGACTGTATTGGGTTTGGCTGAACTCTGGATGTCCACGGTTTGGCCTCCTCAGAACGCACAGGAAGACTCACAAATTTGTCAAAACGAGAGGGATGGAGTCGAACAGCTCCTAGAGCAAGTGTGGTTTCTGGGGTCATGACAATGTCTCTGCATTTCTCGTCGATGGAGATACAGTATGGGTTTCCCATCAGTCTGCATATGTTATTTATCGACTTGGGCTCATCCAAGTTAGACTGTGTGTGTCCATAAGCGAACCCCGGAGCCGCTGCTTTGGGACAGAGACTCAAATCTAGGCCCTTGCTCAGTCCAGGTCTTAAAGATGGAAAGGGGTGAAAAACAAACTGTGTCCATTTCTCCTCGGCGTCCAAAAGTAATCAGTGGTGTCATTGTACCTGTAAATCTCCTGTCCGGCAGTGGCTGGAGTCCCAGATGGGAACCCATCCCTCCACGTCGTAAATCACGAAGCATCCTTGCAGAACCGGACTTCAGCTGTATATTTCTCAAAGTGAGGGGCGGGTGGCTGCAGAAATACTGCAGAACTGTGGCCTTCGAAGTCAATTTGCAAAGTGGGCCGCATCATATTCCTGTGCGGAGATAAAAGTACATTTCTCCCTCTTACTCTTTCAATATCGCTCTCGTTCTCCCTCCCTTTTGAAGCAGAGCTGCCTTTCAAAGCACTGAGCACGCTTTCTAGCAGCTCTGCTTCAGAAAACTGTGAAATTTGATTTAAAATAATCCTGTTTATGTTATAGGAAAGCGGCTTCCTCCTGTGCCTCGTCCTGGGAAATGACCTGTTGTTGAGCCTAGGACACATAGAGTGACAGACACGTGAATGGAAACAAAAAGAATATTATGCATATACATATAGTAGACAGGAAAAAATATGCTGCTAGTCATGAATGAAGTTACAGGGAAGGTAAGCACATTGAAAAGCACTCAAACGCAACTCCAAACCTCTCTGACATTTATTGCTGTTTTAAAAACATAAGGCAATTTTCGAATTTCCTATCAATAAAAACAGACAAGAAACAAATTCTTATCTCAGTCTGGCTGACGGAGACATCTGTTTTCATCTCCGTAACTGTATATCTTCCACAGTCGGGCATCTGAAGTACTTTATATTGATTTGGGATGTGAAATTCAACTCGATTGTGTAGATTTTTTCTTTTTCGCTTAAGAATTTCAATATCAAAAAAGGTCTGTGTGCCAGATTGAAACCAGCACAAGTCATGTGGTGAATAATATCATCTTTCCAAAGTCACTAACATCACATCTTTGCTCTGAAAATACAATGCACGAGCAGAGGTGACCAAATTTTTAACTAAGAAAAGTTTGGGGAAAAAATACAAAAATATGTCAAATCAAATTCACTTATATTCTCTACATTTCAATGCACAAACAGAACAAAAGTGTTAAAACACAAAAATAAATTAGAAATGAAGATATGCTCCAGTGGCATGTTTTTGGCATGTCTTTTGCCATATGGCATGATGGGCCAAATCAAAGATCAAAGAGATATATTCAATATATTAAATTTCTGTCATCTTTTACTCACCCTCATGTTGTTCCAAACTCATATTCTGTGGAACACAAAAGCACAGATGTGTGAATAACATCCTCTTTTCAATATAATGAAAGTGAATAAGAACGGAGACTGTCAAGCTCCAAAATGACAAAAAGCACCATAAAAGTATCATAAAAGTAGTTCAAATGACTTGTACTCTATATTCCAAGTCTTCTGAAGTCATTTGATAGCTTTGTATGATGAACAGACCGAAATTCACTTTATAAAATCTGACTTTTTGTGTTCCAAAGAAGCAATGAAATCATACAGTTTTGGAATGGCATGAAGGTTTAGTGAATAATGGCAGAATTGTCATTTTGTGTAAATTACTTTAATATTTGCAGGTGTGTTAGTGTCACATTGGGACGGTTCATCTCACTGTGCCTGGTGTTTGTAAGATCCTTCAGGCAGTTTGGCTGCTAGACACAATGGACAGGAGGGCCCCAGCAGGACTGTTAATCATCGCACACACTAAACGAACGTACTAATGAGACACCAAGGTCACTGTCTGTCGTGTGTGAGGACTGATTCCCAACAGCTGTGATACATTAAAGACGTGGTGTCTTACACTGATGGTTTGCAGGCATATTAAACAGACCTTTCTGGCTAATATCTCTTGCTATGGCCTATATGTTTAACTGTAACCTTTTTTAATGACACTAGCTTGAAATAACAATGTTTAACTTAGAATAACAGTCCAATCAATCAGACTTTAGAGTTGAGGGCTTGAAACATATTTTTATTGATCACCTTTTCAGATTTTTTTTTTGCTTACGATTATGGATAGTGTTGCTCTAGGACCAACAAACAATCTTCATCAAGGAACATGTTCTACGTGGATAAGTCAGGATAAGTCAGGTTTGATGTGAGAAGATTCAAGCTAGTAATTTGTAAATAAGAAAAATCACAACCAATCTGAACATATTTTATGTAGAATGGAGGGAGATTTTGGACCAATGATATTTTAGTAGGGATGGGGCTACACAGAATAAAGATGCAGAAATGGAAACCAAGCAGCTTAGTTATTGCAGTCCAGGCCAGTTTGGACAAAAACTTGCATGGAAAAGATTTTACCGCTGGTATATAAAGCTTATACCAATATCAAACCACAAAGAAAACATCCCTCTATCCTGTAATATCAACTTTACAAATATCCCCAAAAAAAAAAAAAAAATTGCCTGAAATTCCTAAATTGTAATCACAGACAAGGTTCTACCTGAACCGAGAGTAGAACAATTCCCATTTATCAAGAAACCCACCAGCGTTGGTGGTCTACGTTATTTACTGCCCTCGATTTCGTTAGACCTATGCTCATTTTTCCAGTCTCCTTTCACAACCCCCTTCCTGTCTCAAATGTGCCAAAATGACAGAGTGCAATAAAGGAGCACAGTGGCACAGAACGCACCAATCCCATCAGTGCATGACTTTAATTACCAGGCCATCGGTTCGGCATAATGGGGAAAAGGTGGATATGCAAAAGACTAATACTTTATCCAACTTTTTCTCATTTAAACTTCTCTACATTCTTTTCTCCTTCGTTATTTACTGCCCTCGATTTCGTTAGACCTATGCTCATTTTTCCAGTCTCCTTTCACAACCCCCTTCCTGTCTCAAATGTGCCAAAATGACAGAGTGCAATAAAGGAGCACGGTGGCACAGAACGCACCAATCCCATCAGTGCATGACTTTAATTACCAGGCCATCGGTTCGGCATAATGGGGAAAAGGTGGATATGCAAAAGACTAATACTTTATCCAACTTTTTCTCATTTAAACTTCTCTACATTCTTTTCTCTTTCGTTTTGTTCTTCAGCTCATTTCTCTGAAGCATGCCCAATAATTTTCTTTTAACAAAAAACATTTGCATAAGCGAAATTATCTGCACACAGCGTGTCACACAGAAAGAATGAGCTGAGCACAGGAGCACAGGTGGCTGAAATCAGCCTTTATGGCTCACTGTGTTGCCTTCTCACTCTCCCTTTCCGTTTCTCCCATGTGCTAACTATCTCTCTCTTCAACTATAATGGATTTCAGTGTGGCAGCATGGTTACTCCCTGGTGTTCATGACTAGAGGACTAAAGCTGGTGTTGCTACAGTCTCTTTGAAGAATGAAAAATGCTGTGGACCAGATTTCATCTATCTAGAAAAGACTCTGGAGTCAATGCCTCTATAAAGACTTGGCTACAGCTACCCATTATATTAAGCTCTAATGTGATGTGCGTCTGTTGCCCATATGTTTGCATGACAAGGTCGGAGATTTGTATACCCAAATATGACATTATAAAACATGTAGGAAATGTTCTGAATCCCTAATTTTTAGGTATTGTTATGTTTTATGTAAATCTTTTGTCTGAGACATCTAGAATTGTTTATTAGCATTAAAAAGTATAACATATTTATATAGTTTTATACTCATTCTACATGCATACACACATACATATAAATAAATATATACATACGTGTGTGTGTGTTTTAATAAAACATTTGAGTGCAAAGAAAAACATATATTATTATATGTATGAATGCTGCATGTATTTTTCTTTGATGTAAAAAATCTTTATTCACGTTTTTCAGTTTAAATTTTTTTTTAATCTATATATATCTATATCTATGTATCTATAACAAAACAATATCTACACTCTAAAAAATGCTGGGTTAAATACAGCCCAGTGCTGGGTAAAATAGGGACAAACCCAGCAATTGGGCTGTTTTGACCCAGCGGTTGGGTTAAAGGTTTAACCAACCAAAACAACCCAATTGCTGGGTTTGTCCCTATTTACGTGATGTGATGTGACATGTGGCCAAGTATGGTGACCCATACTAGGAATTAGTGCTCTGCATTTATCCCATCCTAAGTGCACACACACAGCAGTGAACACACACCCGGAGCAGTGGGTAGTCATTTTTGCTGCGGCGCCCGGGGAGCAGTTGGGGGTTCGGTGCCTTGCTCAAGGGCACCTCAGTCATGGTATTGAAGGTGGAGAGAGCGCTGTACATTCACTCCCTCCCCCTACAATCCCTGCCGGTACGAGACTCAAACCCGCAACCTTTGGGTTACAAGTCCAACTCTCTAACCATCAGGCCACGACTACCCAGCACTGGGCTGTATTTAACCCAGCATTTTTTAGAGGTTACATAATATCTGTATAAAATTTCAAATATTTCTTATTGATTTTATTTATTTGTTGTAAAATTGTCTAATTTAGAAAAATATTGTTCATTTTCACATTTGAATGAGACTTTAAAAGTCAGATTTTCAGACTTTTGGACCCAATCTTGTCATTTAAATATATACACAACTCCATGTCTCTGTATTTGGTTGATTGGGACAATTTTCTAATGTTTAAAGCACTATTCGTGCTGATATACATTTCCAAACAGTGTCATGCAAACATATGGACAACAGTTGATGAATCAAGCAAATTGTCAAAAATCTATTCACAATCACACTTTGTGATAATCTACAAGTAAACTGTGAAAGAACACTGTCATTTTACCGTCACTTTAAGACGTAAGAACAACAGTCAGAAGTGCCAGCAGTTTGACTTCTCAATCATCCTGGCTGTCCTTTCTCTTAAACGCTCCACTCATTGTGCTTTGGCTCCAGCTGACCTTATTTATAGATAATAAAAACCTTCATTAGGCTGAATTCCAGCACTTGTTATAATAAACACAAGCTGTCAGAAAACTAGCCTTTCACAGGACTCAAACAGCCCATGTGTGGCTACACATTTACTTGTAGGTTAGAGAGAGCGAGAGGTCAAAGGTCAACATTTGAAACTCAACCTGGGAGAACATATATGTCTGTTTGTTCAGAATTAGGTGCTACTTTCTCAAGTGAAGTGAAAAGCTTCCTTATGCCAAGTGTTTATCTACAACTTAAGAATATTAAACAAGCCTGAATAAAACGTGTGAACACAGAAAGTGTAAGAGCTCGGCTATTTGAATGAATAGGTGCCCTTACTTATAAGGCACCTGGCCGTAACTTACCTCGTTCTGGTTGGAATAATCATTATCTTCTGTTAAGGAGGAGCATTTCGAAGGCATTTACATGCTCAAACTAAGTACTTTAGAGTCAAATAAAACAGTATGATGTGAAGAGTCAAAATATTGTTTCATATCCTCAAAAGCCATTTGCCATTGAGGCAGCTTTGCTACGCTGGCCCAGATGTTTCTGGCAGACTTTGATCAGTAGTAAAATCGTTCATCCACAAAAACCATTGCATTCCAAGACTGCGCTGGAACAACAATGATGACACCAAAAGATAGACATTGAGTGAGAGGGATAATTGTTGGATAAAGCACTTCTGCACTTTGAAGTGATATAGCACATTCTGGCATCGGTAGTAGTCTTGAGGATTGAGGTCAACATTAGCATCTTTCATTCTTTTTCTGTCTTAATCTGGATGCCATCTAGAATCATACTTCTTATTTTCCATCTTAGACCTTTCCAGAGGAACATTTTATCACTCAAATACTGCTCTTTCATTGCTCAGGAGACGTAATGGAGTTCCCAGTTATGTTTCATTTAAGTATCGACTTCATCTCAGATGTATCTCTTAAAATTCTTAAGGAGAGGTAGAAATAGAAATTTTTTGACAGAGACTTTTTCTTTACCAACTAGGTTCTTGGATCCTCCAGCATGTTCATAAAGGCTGCTATAAATAGATGTTGCGTTAATTTGATTTAAACAGAAATGGAAACATGCTGTGACCCTAAATGACAAATGGCTGGCAGCTGGGCCTGGTAGACACCTGTGCACTGAAATGTCCTATCCATGTTGTATTTTAATTGTCTGAATAATGTAATGCAATCATTCTTTGTGTGGGTGAAATGTGACATGTTATGAAGCAGTGGTGGCATGAAAAACCCTTGCATGAAATTGATCAAAAGTGGCAGTAAAGACATTTGTAAAAATTCTATTTCAAATAACTGCTGTTTTTTTTTTTTTTTTGGACTTTCTATTAATCAAAAAAAAATGCTGAAAAAAAGTATCTCTGTTTTCAACAAAATATTAAGCATTAAGTGTTTTTTTTTCATTTACTCTATAATAATAATAATAATAATAATAATAATAAATGTTTCTTGAGCACCAAATCAGAATATTAAAGTGATTTCTGAAGGATAATGTGACACTGAGAATGGGGTATTGGCTGCTGAAAATTCAGCTTTGCATCACAGAAATAAATTATATTTTAAAATATATATTAAAATAGAAAACTGTACATTGTAATAATATTTCACAATATTGCTGTTTTACTGTATGTTTGTTTGGTCAAATAAATGCAGCCTTGGTGAGCATCAAGGATTTCGTTCACTGTCTTTAAAAAATCTTGCTAACTCCAAATATTTGTACAATTTTTTGTGGATGGATTTTGCTTTTAATAACAGAAAATGTTCAAAATGTATTACTCTAAACCTGTTTCCCCCCAAATTTACACCTATGCTACAAAGGCATTGATCTACACTGAAATAAGAATATTCCCATATTAGCAAGGGGCCCTTGAACCAACCAAGTTTTTTAGTTGTCTGTGTGGTCCACATGGACACACACCACTGGTGTGTATGGGAGATCACTCTCCAAGGGCCGCGTCTCTCTCTTCCCAGGGGACAGAGCTCCACGCAAGGCAGAGTCAGAGTAGTTTTGTGCGTGTTTCATGCCTCTGATTCAGCTTCTGCCTGCTGCACAATGTCTATCTGTCATCCGCATGTCTCTGTCCAGCTCCAGGAATGCTGTTCTTAAGCTACCAAAGTTTGTATTTTTTGCTTTTGCCCTGAGTGATGGTATCAATCATTCCTGGAGACGTACTCACTGACTCAAAGTGACAGAAAAAGCCACAGACATCTTCACACGAGGCTGCATTTTCCAGTTCCTCCAACTGCTGATCGAAATGTAAACATACTGTATGCATTTTTGACAATGCAGTTAGAAATCAGATTGATTAAGTTCTTTTGTACTTCTCCAAGTATTGAAAAAATACTTTCTACTACTCTTCTAATTACCTGAGCCTTTTTTAATAGCTTATGTAACCACAATTGGGCCCCTTCTTTACATTGATCCAAGTGAATCTACCGCTCTCCAATCACAAAGCTAATTAAAAGGTTAATGTGATGCTGTTGAAAAGGAAATGGAGAATCTTACATTGCTGTGGTTGAAAATTGTAGCGGAAGCCCTCCACGCCGGCCCCTGAACCCTTCCTTCAAAGACGAGCTGGAATCCTCCAAGTATTGTGCGGGCAGGCTGTCTTCCAAACTGGCTTCCTTCTCCTTAAAAGCTTTTCAAGAGGATGGGAGAATGAATGAATAACATTGATAGCGTGCACTGCTTTTTAAGATGCAGACTGAGAACGTGGCACGGTGCCTAAGCAAACCCTAAAGCGGTATGCCCCATTTCAACGCATCCTGACACAATGCATCATGTAATAGAACGCCTTGTCTGAAGCCTAGAAAACAATAGCTTTCTTTGAGTATTATCAAGCTCATTGTGGAAGAGCTGTCATTCCCAGTAGCATTGCCATGGCTGAAGGTGTACATTGAGGTGATTCTCTCCTTATGTTGAGACTTTTTATAATGAAACCAGAGACTGCAAGCATCTGGCAGAGAGCTTTGGGTGTTCAAAAAAAAGAGTGCTTTGTGTGACAAGAGTGAATTTTATTTTCAAGGCGTTCAGCTGATATCAGAGGAAGACCTAGTTTGTTAGGGCTATGGTAGAGATATTGTGGAGAGTGAGGGTGGATTTCTGTTGACAGCAGCATGTGAGAAACTCATCTGTGGCACTGAAGCACTTCAAATTTAGGGTTCTGACAGCTAGAGTTCCCATGGAAATCCAAGAGAGGCCTCGGGGAAGGCCTGTGTCAGATTCTCCACAGGAGATTCACTGCTTCTTACATCAGTCTCTGGTCCAGGGGACAGAGCTCCACGCAAGGCAGAGTCAGAGTAGTTTTGTGCGTGTTTCATGCCTCTGATTCAGCTTCTGCCTGCTGCACAATGTCTATCTGTCATCCGCATGTCTCTGTCCAGCTCCAGGAATGCTGTTCTTAAGCTACCAAAGTTTGTATTTTTTGCTTTTGCCCTGAGTGATGGTATCAATCATTCCTGGAGACGTACTCACTGACTCAAAGTGACAGAAAAAGCCACAGACATCTTCACACGAGGCTGCATTTTCCAGTTCCTCCAACTGCTGATCGAAATGTAAACATACTGTATGCATTTTTGACAATGCAGTTAGAAATCAGATTGATTAAGTTCTTTTGTACTTCTCCAAGTATTGAAAAAATACTTTCTACTACTCTTCTAATTACCTGAGCCTTTTTTAATAGCTTATGTAACCACAATTGGGCCCCTTCTTTACATTGATCCAAGTGAATCTACCGCTCTCCAATCACAAAGCTAATTAAAAGGTTAATGTGATGCTGTTGAAAAGGAAATGGAGAATCTTACATTGCTGTGGTTGAAAATTGTAGCGGAAGCCCTCCACGCCGGCCCCTGAACCCTTCCTTCAAAGACGAGCTGGAATCCTCCAAGTATTGTGCGGGCAGGCTGTCTTCCAAACTGGCTTCCTTCTCCTTAAAAGCTTTTCAAGAGGATGGGAGAATGAATGAATAACATTGATAGCGTGCACTGCTTTTTAAGATGCAGACTGAGAACGTGGCACGGTGCCTAAGCAAACCCTAAAGCGGTATGCCCCATTTCAACGCATCCTGACACAATGCATCATGTAATAGAACGCCTTGTCTGAAGCCTAGAAAACAATAGCTTTCTTTGAGTATTATCAAGCTCATTGTGGAAGAGCTGTCATTCCCAGTAGCATTGCCATGGCTGAAGGTGTACATTGAGGTGATTCTCTCCTTATGTTGAGACTTTTTATAATGAAACCAGAGACTGCAAGCATCTGGCAGAGAGCTTTGGGTGTTCAAAAAAAAGAGTGCTTTGTGTGACAAGAGTGAATTTTATTTTCAAGGCGTTCAGCCGATATCAGAGGAAGACCTAGTTTGTTAGGGCTATGGTAGAGATATTGTGGAGAGTGAGGGTGGATTTCTGTTGACAGCAGCATGTGAGAAACTCATCTGTGGCACTGAAGCACTTCAAATTTAGGGTTCTGACAGCTAGAGTTCCCATGGAAATCCAAGAGAGGCCTCGGGGAAGGCCTGTGTCAGATTCTCCACAGGAGATTCACTGCTTCTTACATCAGTCTCTGGTTCAAAGAGGGCACCTCAACCACTGTCAGAATCAATACCATCTCTGCTACACATTGTCATTTTTATGAAGACGAACATACTGTATAAACTATTTTTACATCGAAAAAGCTAAATATTAATGTAGATTTAACAATATATATACCGTACACTATCACTCAAAATCTGGAGTCAGTAAGATCTTTGTAAAAGAAATGTAATTATTTTAAAGAAATTAATACTTTTATTCAGCGTAGATGCATTAAATTGATCAAGGATGACAGCAAGCACAGTTATAATGTTACAGAAGACTTCTTTGAATAAATAATGTTCTTTTGAACTTTCTATTCAAAGAATTCTGAAAAAAAGTTCTGCACAAAATATTAAAGAAATGTTTTCAACATTGATAAGAAATGTTTCTGGAGCACTAAATCAGCGCCAACACACACACACACACACACACACACATATACACAGATATATACACACTGTATTCAAATAAATGCAGCTTTAACATAAAAAAATATATAAAAATCTTACTGACCCCAAACTTAAAAATACAGAGTTAAAAAATGAATCTTAAGAAAACTTTTATATGTTGTTGGTTTGGATGCTGGTATAGTGGTGTAATTTCCTCACCAGGCTGCTAACTATCTAAACCAGCATCACTATCGTGGTCAAACAGTTAGAATTTCTGAGAAAAGTCATAGAAAGTCATCGCTAGAATGAGTTTGCTGTTTAGCAAAATGGATTTGCTGGTTCACCTGCTAGATCACCAAACCAACAGGAATCTGAACCAGCAAATTGGCCAATTCTTCATTTTGAAACGGCATTTGCAATGAATTTTACTTCAATATTTAGCAGTAAAACAGGATATTCAATGAAAAAAAAAATGCAGGATGAATCTTGATCGACCTGAGTAAAGTGGGTGGTCCATACCAAAATGGAATCAGGTGGTTGAGGGTCTGCAAAAGACCTGCAAAAGAACAAAAATATGTATTAAAAACGTATTAATAAAAAAGGTATTAATACATTTAGAAAAACCTAAAAACACTCACCTCATCATAAAATTACACATTTTTATCTTCCTATTTTAAAAGAACTCCTCTCGAGGGTCGTTGTTCATTGTTTTCATTAATAATTGTTGCTGGATGGTCAGAGTTTAGGTTGGACTGAAAGACGTGGCTAATGTGCAGATATTGTTCTGCCTGGGTGGGCTTGAACCTCAAGATAATCTCAGCCTCACATCTGCTATAAACAACAACAGGGAATAAACTGAATTGTGGTTAAACTTTGGTTAAACGTCACCATGGAGGACTACTCATTCAGCACAGGTGTCATGTTTAATACCTCTCATATATCAAGAAGTGAGCAGGCAAATAAAATAGAGGAGCGCCATATGGGTTGGCGTGGAGAGGAGGGGGATTTCCGTTTTTAAAAGCCTCTGTTGCTCCTCTATGGGTCTGGACGCCATAAAGTGGATACGATTACTATGGTGCCATACGGTTCTTTGGACACATCAGAAGGTCAGCAGACATTTTTTATTACTATCTGAACTTTGGCCAGAGAAAAATGTCAGTACATGGGTAAAGGAATGAAGACGAGAAGGAATTACATTTTATTCCCCTCATCTCTCTCTCTGTAATTATTCAATCATGCTTAATTGTTTTTTCTCTAGTGTGTGGTCTAGGTGAGAGAGAAACAATAAGCCCTCATTTTTTTGTGAAAGCAAATTGCTTATTCTTCTTCGGTAAACAGAGCTATAGAGATAGAAGACGTCCTCTTGGAGGACATCGGAAGACCACAATGTCTAATAAATCTCAAGACTTGGTAAGCCTGTTCTCCTTGGGCTTGCATGCGAATAATCACAATACACACACATATACACATGTACATATACAGACACACTCTAACTAAATGATTCACAAAACAATAAAGAGATGGACAATATAAAGGAAGCTTTCTGAAACAAACGACGATTGAACAGTGCAGGAAATGCAGTGCAGTTCATTAAAAGGTGATTGATGATTAGCTCGCTGTGTGACATATGCTAAATGGGTGGATGATTATCAGCTGAAAAATTAAACACCTCTTGTCCTTGAAACCGTTAAGCTCTCCTCCCGTGCTTGTCTGTTTAAATCCTCCCTGGCGATAAAGCCGTGTTTATTCTCTCTCATTACAGACCTCAGAGGCTGGGGAACGGACAAAGGAATTCAAGTGCCTCTGAAGTTTCTCATTCAAACACACACACACACACACACACACACACAGAGAGAGAGAGAGAGAGAGAGAGAGAGAGAATAGTACAGATTTCAGATTTTGGCTCTCAAAACCTAGGAAGCTGCCTACCTAGACAACATTTTTTGCATGAACACTCAAAACAACCAAAAAACGTATGTGTATACATCAACCTATGTATATAAATCTATAAATTTTGTATTGTAAAGAAAAGAAAAAAAACATATTGCACATCGTTATAATAATATACAGTTAATAAATTCATGACATATACGGTGGGACAAGCCAAAATCACCATTCTAAGGGTGAGACAAAGACATCACTAGCTACTTTTTATGCTAGGTTAATTTTATGTCAAATAGAAGTCTAACATATCTGATTTCAAGTTCTCATTTTTAAGAATATAGGTTTGGTGCCTTTATTCAATCAATCCCAGCATGTTATGCAACAGTAGATATTCCTGTGCACTAATAAACTGATTAGCATTCAACAATGACTTTCACTTTTATTGCTCATAGTATAGGTTGCCTTCCTACAATACACAACATACCTTCATTTACAGTATATTGATGAATCTTTTTGGAATTCTCTCTTTGCAATTTGGAGAAGACTGAATGGCTTTGTTGGTGCTTTTCGTTCTTCCTGTGAAGAGGATGAAAGGATTAATCAGAGTGCCACTTGTCTGTTTAATGTTAATGATTTATTGTCGACTTGCCCTTCAGCTGACTGTAACTGACAGACAGATTTTGACAGGAAATTGCTTTTAGCTGACTGTCTCTCCTGTGTCCTCTCTGCGTCTGACTATCATTTTTCATTCTGTCCCCTCTACAAATGAAAGTGGAAGACAAAGAGAGAAGGAAAAATTATGGAATGAAGGAAGAGAAACAGGAGAGAAATCATCAAGAAAGACCTAATAATATAAACAACCCTCATTTTGAGGTTTGGTGAATCTTAATTATCATCTGGCGGGAAACTGACTGTTGTTTGTTCTTTTAAAAAATATATAAGACTTGCAGTCTTATTGTCATAATGTCACTGGCCTCTCATTTATTTTCAAGCTTGATTCACTATAAAGGAATTATGCTATGCTTTCTAATAAATCAAATCAAGCAAATAAGGGGGCTAAAAATCATGTCCTGAAGTTTGAGTTACAGCATTGATTGCATTCAAACTGTTTTGCTGGAACGAGAGAGAGAGATTGATTGGATCATTTGAAATTTTTTTCAGTCACTGATAATGATCCCAGAGTTGCATTTGCAGCCATAAACAATCCATAACTCTGCCGTTATGAATATGACCCATGCTTTCCATTGGGCTCTTGATATCTTCTCTATTCTCTCTCATTGTACCGTAACACCATGAAATGACAAAATGACCAAATACAAAGCAGCATTGCCACCCAAGACTTATTTAATCACATAGTCACTTATTTAAATCTGACACTTTAAGCTTCAGTTGTTTGAAATAAAAATGGTACTGAGAGGAATGATATCGCATTGGTAATATCAAACAAAAGCACATAACAAATTGACTAAAATTAAACTGAATTAAAATGAAAAGCATAGAAATGAAAACAAAATCTAATTCAAAATATTAATACAAACTATAATAGCATGTAAATAATATTAAAATAACACTGCCCTAGTGATTATCATTTGGTGGTCCACAGGTATATATCACTCACCACAAACATACACTAATTCCCCAGTTTCCTTAATGTTGCAGTGAGAAATGAAAATGATCCAGAAGAGAAATATTTTCACAATGAATTTCATATGATGATCTGATAAGATTCACATTTAGCATAACAAATACTGGCTTCGATATTCTCTTCGGACACATACTGTTACTAATCACAGGACTGGCTAAGTTCAAAGTACAGTGTTTCAAATTCTTAATCAACGCAACTCTCCCCAGAAACCCTATCAAAACAATGAGTCAGTCATGTTGTGTCCGTCCCTTAAAAATGTTCTCCCCCGAGACCAGTTAGATTGGCGGACACGGTCACAGATACTCCCGATGCCACATTTAATGCTGATCTCAGAAGAACTGGTGTTTTTATGCGGCCCTCCAGTCGTCTTCTCGCAATGGTTACGAGTCATCGTTACGGTGCTCCCCAGGGTTCAGGATTAGGCCCAATTGCAGATTCCTTCTCGATTTCCAAAGTATTAAAACACTAATGTTGCTCCAGCAGAAAAGTAGTTTTTCACAAAGCTGATGGAAATCTGAGAGTAAGTGCAAAGGCTGAAATTGGCAGGCTTCCCTCATGTACATTTCTCTACTCATCTATATTTTGGCAAATGGCTTACATAATGGCTTAACTCACCCGTTTCTGTTTTCAATGCAATATGTTTTGTGCACTGTACGGTTATATGTTTATCGGTCTGATATGGGTGGAGTAGTGTCCATCTGCAGGAAAACTGATGTAATCTTGTGGAATATACGCATGAACGTTACTGTGAATGAGGAATGTCAAACAATGTGAGTGCTGTTTTGACAAAATGAGAGTCACTGAGACATTCCTGAAGGTCATACATCATATCTGTCTAAGATAAACCGAGATATGCTGGATGTCGCAAGTACACTCTTAAAAATAAAGGTCCATTATTGGCAATGATGGTTCCAGAACATCCATTGAAACTTTCCACTGGACAAAAGGTTTTTTATAGTGGGAAAAGGCTGTTCTGGTTATTAAAATGCCCTTCATATTAATAAAATGTTTATTTAGGAACTGCTGTCTGAAAGGTTGTTTAGGGAACCAGAAATGGCTCTTCTATGGCATCACTGAAAAAAAAAAAAAAAACTTTTGGAAACCTTAAAAGAGTGTAGTCATAAAAAACTGATATATCTTTGCTGCAATATACAGTTTCTCAGAGGTTGCTCTTTCACAGCATACGTTTCTTTAATGTATCAAGTTTTGTTACAGATGTTTCTCCTAAATTTCAATGGGAAAAACAAAAACAAACGAATGAGACAATTGTTGGCGTATAGAAATAATACAGAGATTGAAATTTGATGTGGATTGCAAAAGAGTATCAAAACCTTTATGAATTTTATCTGTGAAACACAAAGAATGTTTTTGTCCATACGGTAGGGTCCAAAATGACATTGGACACCACTGACTTTGATTGTGGAGACAAACAACACTGAGACATTTTTCAAAATACCACCTTCTTTGCTCTAGAGAAAAAAATAATTCATTTTTGGGTTAACTGTTCCTTTAAGAGTTTGTAGAGAATATCTCCAAAGTTTTTATAGAACCCAAATGTCTTTGAACGTCCTTCTAGAGATTAATCTCCATCTCAGAACATCTGACTAATACTGTTTTTTTTTTTTTTTAAAACAACACTTCTCCATGACATTCATGGATGGACTCCTGGTGCGTTCAAAACATCATTACAGCTAATAACCTTCATTTCCTGCAGCAGGATTTATTATTTATTTGGGTGTTTATTCATAGTTTATTCTATTTTCTCAGGTTTATAATTGGACCTAATTGGATCATTTCTATGATTTTGCTCAGGTGAAAAATTTTTCAAAATACCACCTTCTTTGCTCTAGAGAAAAAAATAATTCATTTTTGGGTTAACTGTTCCTTTAAGAGTTTGTAGAGAATATCTCCAAAGTTTTTATAGAACCCAAATGTCTTTGAACGTCCTTCTAGACATTAATCTCCATCTCAGAACATCTGACTAATACTGTTTTTTTTTTTTTTTTAAAACAACACTTCTCCGTGCCATTCATGGATGGACTCCTGGTGCGTTCAAAACATCATTACAGCTAATAACCTTCATTTCCTGCAGCAGGATTTATTATTTATTTGGGTGTTTATTCATAGTTTATTCTATTTTCTCAGGTTTATAATTGGACCTAATTGGATAATTTCTATGATTTTGCTCAGGTGAAAAATGCCTGTCAGTGCACAGCTGGGAATGCAAACACTCAGATGCAACCTTTGAATGGGTTCACATAAGCAGCCAGCATGTCACTGTTGATGACTGAGAAATTGCTTGTGAAGCTCGAGGAATTTGTGTAAAATATAAGAATCATTTGCTGGAGTTTGGTGTGGCTTGGAGAATTTCCACTTGGCCTGACTACATTGTTGTGAAATGCATTTGACCAAAACGAGCATGCATACTATGAGCTCTGAAGATGAGCGTTATTTAATTACTGTTTGATGAACTGAAACAAAGAACTTTGTGGTGAAACTGGTATTTTTTCACGTTTAGCCCGATGCAAAGGATAAGGGCCTATTTGAGGTCTGCCAGAGGATTCCTGTCTAGTCCAACACAACTATAAAAAAAAA